TTGGAGTTTTTTTTAGAAGTTCAAATTTGAAATTGCTTAATCTTATATATTATTTGACAAGCATGTTTAAAGAAAAATCTGATGTGTCAAAATGAGAAGAAAATTTAGTGTATTTTAATGTTGACATGAAAATGTGACACGACAAATTTTTTAAAATTAACGAAATATTTTATTATTGTTGACTCTTTAAATACATGTATATACGTCAATATTTGAAATCAACTATAAGCATGTAAATGGCTAGCAGCCATACTAAATTTTAAGAAAATATATGATTTTAATCTCAAGCTTTAAAATACATATATTTTATTCTATTATAAGCTAGAAGTCTTAACTTAAATTTTATGGCAGAATATGGAATTGCATGCACGTAAACATAATTCAAGTATTGGTAGGCCTGTACAGAAATGTCACAAAATATATTTACACATTGTTCTGGTAAAAAATTATACGGTTATAAGCAAAATTGCAAAATAAAATTTCGTGAAGAAAATAAAGAGAATAACAGACTTAGTAACTTTTTTCAATACATATTAATATATGAATTCAACGCACGTTAAACAACTTCAACTTCATGGGACGTAACACACGAAAATGCATATTCATGCAACATGTACATATTTTAATTTATGCAAACTTTTTATGAGCATAAACAGGTAATAATATAAATATAAAAATCGGTAATAAATAGAATAAAATAATTATTCGTAATCGTGTATTAGTCGCACCATAATCCCATTTTATAATATTGTTGACTATAAAAATGTTAACTAATACGGAAAATTCTTTCCTTTGTTTATTTTGTCAACAATCAGTACAAAAAATTCACAAATCATATATAAACAAACAATAACAACACAGATTAATAACATTCACAATTAAAAAGCAACTTACCTCAATTCTTATAATATTCTCTACAAAAACAAAAAAAAATGGAAATCAAAAGTTAGTGATTGTGGCGACAATGATGATAATGGTGGCAATGGGGAACCTCGTGATTCAGACAGAAGCTCAAGCTTTTCCTTTCAGAAGTTGTTACCCCAGTTGTATTGTGAGTTGTGCCATTCAGAAGAAGTTTCCAAGTGCTTTTATGTGTCCATTGACTTGTATCATGACCTGTCTTGCTCCTCCCACACCAATTCCTTCTCCTCCTTCTCAAATGATTTTGGCAAATGAAAACTATCAAACTGATTATTTCTGCAAACTTGGTTGTGCTACTCATCATTGTGTTTCTCTTTCTTCTCTCCAAAATCCAAATCCAAGTAAGTGTTTATTTTCCTAATCAATGTTTTTCATTGACATAAACACACTTTTATCTCTTAGTTATATATGTATAAATAATATGGATACGTACATATCTTATCAATCAATAATTTTTTAATATTAATCAAAAATCATATAAATGTATCTTGTTTTTTATCTTCTGTGATCACATAATATTTAATACTATAGATTTCAATTGACAAATACTAAATTCTGTTTTGTTGTTGTTTGTGGCATGAACAGATTTAGACAAAATTGCAAACTGTGTGGATTCATGCTCAGACAAATGTTCCAACAAAAACTAAAAGAAACATATGGGATTTCTTGCTTTTATTCTTTGTTTGATTCGATTAGCTTATGAAATGCCATTTTTGATGGAAGATTCTCTAGCAAAGTCGTTGCTGAGAACTATTCTCCGATTAGTGAATAATTTTTCTGTTAAAACTTGGACGTTATGGACTTTCTTCAAAAAAATTTAGGTATTAATATATAGATGCCGTCTTAAATACAGTTTAATTCAGTTTGAGTTTTTGATACATTCATGAATTAAATATTTGTACGTGATAAAATTAAGATATTAAAAAGAACCCCAATAGTATCATAGTTTCCAATTTCGAAATGAAAAACCTCAATACAATCTCACTGTGAATAAAAAACCCCAATACCAATGATCATATTACCATACCAAAATCACACCTTGATTTGTTGTTGACTATGAAAATGCTACTCAAACAGAAAATTGTGCAATTCTTATAGACTTATTAGTAATATTTACAATAAGAAACAATTTCATCAATTTTTACTATCATTTTATTTAGAAAAATAGAAAGTAAAAAAGTGACAATAATGATAGTTATGATAATGGGAAAAAACTTTATTGCCAGTGAGATTGTATGCAAGTTAAGTATTTCGAATAAAGATTTTTGCATAAATTATATAAAACTATAGCTCTTCCTCAGCCAAGTTTGGCCAGAATAGCTATGTTGACTGTTTGATCTAACCATTTTTAAATATACTACTCAAGCTATCTCGCGGTGTGTAAATCTATACATGCATCAATTACTACTTTGTAAACATTTTGAAAATTTGACGTCATTCCATCTACCAAACCTGCAGAACTTGCCTATTGATTAATGTTGGTGTCTATTCATTGTTTGCTTTTGTGTTTAACTAAAAATATTAGTTATATGTACAATGGAAGCAAATTTTCTGATTTTACGACTTCTCTAAAGGATATTGACAAGCCGCTTACAACAAGTCCGTAATTACGCTTTTCACATGTTTAGTCACTTGAGAAGATGAGGATATCAAAGGCTTTTCTCAGTCTTTTATGCGTGTGCCTTATTATGGAGTCTATTGTGTTCTCAACGATATATTTAGATATGCTTCTGATGCACCAAAAGCTGTGGATGTTCTCAAGAGCATTTGTGAAGAAATTACTTTTTCGAGCTAAATCAAATCAATGCAGGATATTTTGTTATTTTCCGAATGTTAACATTAATTGGTTATTATTAACAAAGTGATTTTAAAAGCATAAGGTACATATTATGTTGATAATTTGATAATAAATTATTATGTTATACTTTTTTACCTTTCTGCTTCATACACATTTATAATATTTAATTATTACGTTTATAACACAAATTATTTATTTTGTATTATCTTTTTCAAATTTTTAATTATCATTTTCATTAAGTAAGTTTTACTAGTTATACTTCATTTCTTAGTAATACCAATTGAGCACAATTGTCCTATCATTGAAACTCAAACTGGATGATTTTGGGTTGAATTTCTTCTAATCATCTTGAATTTTACCACAATTTAACCAAGACAATTGCCAATTCAAAGTTCTAATCGACTCTTAAACCATGATCAAACATCCAATGTGTATACCAAAATAATGGTTCAAATGTTCAATTAGTAATTTTATTTAGAAATACTAGTTTTACTAGTTATACTTTATTTATCAGTAATATCAGTTGCACTCAGTTAACCTATAGCTGGAACTCAAATTGGATGTTTGGTTAAATTCCTTCTAATCTACTTACAATATCCTACCACATAGGCGAAACTGCAAGCTCCATATCATGACTGCTGATACTCAAGCCTCTTACAACAAATCAGTTGTTAACCTTATGTAATAGGTTTAGTAATCCAAAAAATATAGGAAGAGAGAGATATTTTCTGAGTCGTTTTTCTTTGTGCCAGTGCCGCGGAAGGAAATGTAAATTGTGATGAACAATCTGTTTAGGTACACCAAGATAATTCCTAAATTAGTCAAATCAAATGATCCACATACTATGACTTATGAGTTTGTTCGGAAGTACTTTAAACGCTTTGTTCACATGTCATGCAACCGCTTGTCTCTATGACCAGAAATATTGATACAATCTAAATAATTTAATTGAAAATTGGCGAGTCCTTTCATGTCTAAAATTCAATCTTCTGTTGCTCCATCTTGCTTATACAATCTAAATTTTTAGCAACTTACACTTAGGTTTAATCAGTTCGAGCTGCTCGTCAAATCAACACGCAAAGTCACTAGGAACATTTCCGAAACGTATCATCAAGGGATGGTGAAGTGATCTTTGGCTTGATTTTTATATTAGTAGGAGTAAATAACAACTGTTTACCCTTTATTTGTTTTTATCTTTTATATGAGGGTAGTCTCACAGAATATATATTTTTTTTCTATAAAAAAAGTCGTTGTGCTATATTTTGTTTATTCTTTTATTTAACCAAAACTAGGATACTCAGATATTTTGTTGTTGTTATTTCATTCATTAATTGGAGTTGTTACATTAATTGGAGTTTTTTTTAGAAGTTCAAATTTGAAATTACTTAATCTTATATATTATTTGACAAGCATGTTTAAAGAAAAATCTGATGTGTCAAAATGAGAAGAAAATTTAGTGTATTTTAATGTTGACATGAAAATGTGACACGACAAATTTTTTAAAATTAACAAAATATTTTATTATTGTTGACTCTTTAAATACATGTATATACGTCAATATTTGAAATCAACTATAAGCATGTAAATGGCTAGCAGCCATACTAAATTTTAAGAAAATGTATGATTTTAATCTCAAGCTTTAAAATACATATATTTTATTCTATTATAAGCTAGAAGTCTTAACTTAAATTTTATGTCAGAATATAGAATTGCATGCACGTAAACATAATTCAAGTATTGGTAGGCCTGTACTGAAATGTCACAAAATATATTTACACATTGTTCTGGTAAAAAATTATACGGTTATAAGCAAAATTGCAAAATAAAATTTCTTGAAGAAAATAAAGAGAATAACAGACCTGGTAACTTTTTTCAATACATATTAATATATGAATTCAACGCACGTTAAACAACTTCAACTTTATGGGACGTAACACACAAAAATGCATATTCATGCAACATGTACATATTTTCATTTATGCAAACTTTTTATGAGCATAAACAGCTAATAATATAAATATAAAAATCGGTAATAAATAGAATAAAATAATTATTCGTAATCGTGTATTAGTCGCACCATAATCCCATTTTATAATGTTGTTGACTATAGAAATGTTAACTAATACGGAAAATTCTTTCCTTTGTTTATTTTTTCAACAATCAATACATAAAATTCACAAATCATATATAAACAAACAATAACAACACAGATTAATAACATTCATAATTAAAAAGCAACTTACCTCAATTCTTGTAATATTCTCTACAAAAACAAAAAAAAATGGAAATCAAAAGTTTAGTGATTATGGCGACGATGATGATAATGGTGGCAATGGGGAACCTCGTGATTCAGACAGAAGCTCAAGCTTTTCCATTTAGAAGTTGTTACCCCAGTTGTATTGTGAGTTGTGCCATTCAGAAGAAGTTTCCAAGTGCTTTTATGTGTCCATTGACTTGTATCATGACCTGTCTTGCTCCTCCCACACCAATTCCTTCTCCTCCTTCTCAAATGATTTTGGCAAATGAAAACTATCAAACTGATTATTTCTGCAAACTTGGTTGTGCTACTCATCATTGTGTTTCTCTTTCTTCTCTCCAAAATCCAAATCCAAGTGTTTATTTTCCTAATCAATGTTTTTCATTGACATAAACACACTTTTATCTCTTAGTTATATATGTATAAATAATATGGATACGTACATATCTTATCAATCGATAATTTTTTAATATTAATCGAAAATCATATAAATGTATCTTGTTTCTTATCTTCTGTGATCACATAATATTTAATACTACAGATTTCAATTGAAAAATACTAAATTCTGTTTTGTTGTTGTTTGTGGCATGAACAGATTTAGACAAAATTGCAGACTGTGTGGATTCATGCTCAGACAAATGTTCCAACAAAAACTAAAAGAAACATATGGGATTTCTTGCTTTTATTCTTTGTTTGATTCGATTAGCTTATGAAATGCCATTTTTGATGGAAGATTCTCAAGCAAAGTCGTTGCTGAGAACTATTCTCCGATTAGTGAATAATTTTCCTGTTAAAACTTGGACATTATGGACTTTCTTCAAAAAACTTTAGGTATTAATATATAGATTCCGTCTTAAATACAGTTTAATTCAGTTTGAGTTTTTGATACATTCATGAATTAAATATTTGTACGTGATAAAATTAAGATATTAAAAAGAACCCCAATAGTATCATAGTTTCCAATTTCGAAATGAAAAACCTCAATACAATCTCACTGTGAATAAAAAACCCCAATACCAATGATCATATTACCATACCAAAATCACACCTTGATTTGTTGTTGACTATGAAAATGCTACTCAAACAGAAAATTGTGCAATTCTTATAGACTTATTAGTAATATTTACAATAAGAAACAATTTCATCAATTTTTACTATCATTTTATTTAGAAAAATAGAAAGTAAAAACGTGACAATAATGATAGTTATGATAATGGGAAAAAACTTTATTGCCAGTGAGATTGTATGCAAGTTAAATATTTCGAATAAAGATTTTTGCATAAATTATATAAAACTATAGCTCTTCCTCAGCCAAGTTTGGCCAGAATAGCTATGTTGACTGTTTGATCTAACCATTTTTAAATATACTACTCAAGCTATCTCGCGGTGTGTAAATCTATACATGCATCAATTACTACTTTGTAAACATCTTGAACATTTGACGTCATTCCATCTACCAAACCTGCAGAACCTGCCTATTGATTAATGTTGGTGTTTATTCATTGTTTGCTTTTGTGTTTAACTAAAAATATTAGTTATATGTACAATGGAAGCAAATTTTCTGATTTTACGACTTCTCTAAAGGATATTGACAAGCCGCTTACAACAAGTCCGTAATTACGCTTTTCACATGTTTAGTCACCTGAGAAGATGAGGATATCAAAGGCTTTTCTCAGTCTTTTATGCGTGTGCCTTATTATGGAGTCTATTGTGTTCTCAACGATATATTTAGATATGCTTCTGATGCACCAAAAGCTGTGGATGTTCTCAAGAGCATTTGTGAAGAAATTACTTTTTCGAGCTAAATCAAATCAATGCAGGATATTTTGTTATTTTCCGAATGTTAACATTAATTGGTTATTATTAACAAAGTGATTTTAAAAGCATAAGGTACATATTATGTTGATTATTTGATAATAAATTATTATGTTATACTTTTTTACCTTTCTGCTTCATACACATTTATAATATTTAATTATTACGTTTATAACACAAATTATTTATTTTGTATTGTCTTTTTCAAATTTTTAATTATCATTTTCATTAAGTAAGTTTTACTAGTTATACTTCATTTCTTAGTAATACCAATTGAGCACAATTGTCCTATCGTTGAAACTCAAACTGGATGATTTTGGGTTGAATTTCTTCTAATCATCTTGAATTTTACCATAATTTAACCAAGACAATTGCCAATTCAAAGTTCGAATCGACTCTTAAACCATGATCAAACATCCAATGTGTATACCAAAATAATGGTTCAAATGTTCAATTAGTAATTTTATTTAGAAATACTAGTTTTACTAGTTATACTTTATTTATCAGTAATATCAGTTGCACTCAGTTAACCTATAGCTGGAACTCAAATTTGATGTTTGGTTAAATTCCTTCTAATCTACTTACAATATCCTACTACATAGGCGAAACTGCAAGCTCCATATCATGACTGCTGATACTCAAGCCTCTTACAACAAATCAGTTGTTAACCTTATGTAATAGGTTTAGTAATCCAAAAAATATAGGAAGAGAGAGATCTGTTCTCAGTCGTTTTTCTTTGTGCCAGTGCCGCGGAAGGAAATGTAAATTGTGATGAACAATCTGTTTAGGTACACCAAGATAATTCCTAAATTAGTCAAATCAAATGATCCGCATACTATGACCTATGAGTTTGTTCGGAAGTACTTTAAACGCTTTGTTCACATGTCATGCAACCGCTTGTCTCTATGACCAGAAATATTGATACAATCTAAATAATTTAATTGAAAATTGGCGAGTCCTTTCATGTCTAAAATTCAATCTTCTGTTGCTCCATCTTGCTTATACAATCTAAATTTTTAGCAACTTATACTTAAGTCTAATCAGTTCGAGCTGCTCGTCAAATCAACACGCAAAGTCACTAGGAACATTGCCGAAACGTATCATCAAGGGATGGTGAAGTGATCTTTGGCTTGATTTTTATATTAGTAGGAGTAAATAACAACTGTTTACCCTTTATTTGTTTTTATCTTTTATATGAGGGTAGTCTCACAGAATATATATTTTTTTTCTATAAAAAAAGTCGTTGTGCTATATTTTATTTATTCTTTTATTTAACCAAAACCAGGATACTCAGATATTTTGTTGTTGTTATTTCATTCATTAATTGGAGTTGCTACATTAATTGGAGTTTTTTTTAGAAGTTGAAATTTGAAATTACTTAATCTTATATATTATTTGACAAGCATGTTTAATGAAAAATCTGATGTGTCAAAATGAGAAGAAAATTTACTGTATTTAAATGTTGACATGAAAATGTGACATGATAAATTTTCTAAAATTAACGAAATATTTTATTATTGTTGACTCTTTAAATACATGTATATACGTCAATATTTGAAGTCAACTATAAGCATGTAAATGGCTAGCAGCCATACTAAATTTTAAGAAAATGTATGATTTTAATCTAAAGCTTTAAAATACATATATTTTATTCTATTATAAGCTAGAAGTCTTAACTTAAATTTTATGGCAGAATATGGAATTGCATGCACGTAAACATAATTCAAGTATTGGTAGGCCTGTACTGAAATGTCACAAAATATATTTACACATTGTTCTGGTAAAAAATTATACGGTTATAAGCAAAATTGCAAAATAAAATTTCGTGAAGAAAATAAAAAGAATAACAGACCTAGTAACTTTTTTCAATACATATTAATATATGAATTCAACGCACGTTAAACAACTTCAACTTCATGGGACGTAACACACAAAAATGCATATTCATGCAACATGTACATATTTTCATTTATGCAAACTTTTTATGAGCATAAACAGGTAATAATATAAATATAAAAATTGATAATAAATAGAATAAAATAATTATTCGTAATCGTGTATTAGTCGCACCATAATCCCATTTTATAATGTTGTTGACTATAGAAATGTTAACTAATACGGAAAATTCTTTCCTTTGTTTATTTTGTCAACAATCAATACATACAATTCACAAATCATATATAAACAAACAATAACAACACAGATTAATAACATTCACAATTAAAAAGCAACTTACCTCAATTCTTATAATATTCTCTACAAAAACAAAAAAAAAAATGGAAATCAAAAGTTTAGTGATTGTGGCGACGATGATGATAATGGTAACAATGGGGAACCTCGTGATTCAGACAGAAGCTCAAGCTTTTCCATTTAGAAGTTGTTACCCCAGTTGTATTGTTAGTTGTGCCATTCAGAAGAAGTTTCCAAGTGCTTTTATGTGTCCATTGACTTGTATCATGACCTGTCTTGCTCCTCCCACACCAATTCCTTCTCCTCCTTCTCAAATGATTTTGGCAAATGAAAACTATCAAACTGATTATTTCTGCAAACTTGGTTGTGCTACTCATCATTGTGTTTCTCTTTCTTCTCTCTAAAATCCAAATCCAAGTGTTTATTTTCCTAATCAATGTTTTTCATTGACATAAACACACTTTTATCTCTTAGTTATATATGTATAAATAATATGGATACGTACATATCTTATCAATCGATAATTTTTTAATATTAATCGAAAATCATATAAATGTATCTTGTTTCTTATCTTTTGTGATCACATAATATTTAATACTACAGATTTCAATTGACAAATACTAAATTCTGTTTTGTTGTTGTTTTTGGCATGAACAGATTTAGACAAAATTGCAGACTGTGTGGATTCATGCTCAGATGATATATCATGGTTTTTATAGTTTTTAACCATGATATAAGTCCTTTTTATTGAGTCTTTTTGGTCTTTTTAGAGTCCTAGAAGAGTCTTTGCAGGTTATAGCATGTCTGGAGCATAATTGGAGATTTTGGAACCTTTTGGAGCATTCTGAGTTGAAGCCACAAAGTACCAAGCTCGAAGCAGAAAGTATCCCATATGGTGACGCTCGTCACCACTCTTGGTGACGCTCGTCACCCATCAAGGAAGGAGCATGGCTGTTTTATTAAAAGTGTGAAGAAGATTTGCAGTATTGGCCCAGAAGTTCCATTATTTGCAAGAAGACCCCAGATCGTGTTTAACCTCTATTTATTAGGTTTTTCAGCCATTGTTGGCGAGTATCTTAGTTTTTGAGAATTCAGAGAGCTTACAGAGAGATTTATTCAGAGCTTTTTGGAGAGACAAATCCTGTAATTTTTTAAGAAGATTTCGAACCCCCTTATTCTTTCTCTTTCTCTTAATGCAATATTACTCAGTTATATTTTGTAATTCCATAATCATATCTGAGTAATCTGCTAGTTAAGTTAAGGCTTTTTCAAGGATTGATGAAGAGATTGTAGAGTCGCTAATTCTGTTAGGAATATCTTATGGTTTTTCATCTCTGCTTGCTTTAAAATCGAATTTCTGAGAAACATCATCTAGGAATCCGAAAATC